GTTCCAATTGTAGTTTTATTTGTAAAATTCTTTAATACGGTAAAATGTTACTGACGTTTTTCATTTATTCAACAGTTCGCCATAAGATACTTGTTAATTGATCTACGATCTAACACCAAATGTTTCAATATCACATGAATTGAATCTTAAGTCAAAGGACATTGATCTTGTATTATAAAACTTCTACAAAAATAGTAATTTCATTAGATTTAACTGCATGCAACCTGCTATTTTATTCCCTATATGGAAACATGAGCATCCATTAAAAAGGTTTATGGGTTGTAATAATCTGTCAAATAACTCTTTAAAGGGAGCAACGAGACAAAATATGATGTCGTATAAAAAGCATTATGGTGAAAGAGCTTTCCTGCACTGAAGATTCAAGTCAGCTTTTGAATTAACCTATTTTCCGTCGTTTGTCTGTCTGTTCACGATTCACGATTCACATTTTCTTTTTTTTTTCCTGAGCCACTTAACCAATTTCACAAAATGATCACAAATTATTATTTGGTAAAGAGAATTAAATTTAATTCACGCCCTCCAGAAACGAGAAAAAGGCAAAAACTAGGTGGAAATCTTTAAATACTGTTTTATTTTTTCTTCTAAACTGCTGAATCATGGAAGATGAACTGAAATAAAAAATTTCTGACACATTTTAAAATGTAATTTGTTCAAATCATTGCCCGGTGGAATGATGGGTCCACGATATGGGACGAAAGTTCTACATGGGAACAAAAAGCAATATATATATATATATATATATATATATATATATATATATATATATATATATATATATATATATATATATATATATATATATATATATATATATATATTATATATATATATATATATAAAGCACTAAAAACCAACAACACTGTATATCCTAAGTGTCGGATCTACTAAGTAGATACAAGGTCACGGATGGAAATTTATATAAAGCACTAAAAATGACCAACGACACGAACAATAATAATTGTCAAACTTTCGGGACAACCTGTCCCTTCCTCAGGACAAAGAAAAAAGACATCTGGACCATGCTTTTTTCTTTGTCCTGAGGAAGGGACAGGTTGTCCCGAAAGTTTGACAATTATTATTGTTCGTGTCATTGGTCATTTTTAGTGCTTTATATATATATATATATATATATATATATATATATATATATATATATATATATATATATATATATATATATATATATATATATATATATATATATATATATATATATATATAAAGAACTAGAGGGGGCATGATAAGTGATGTTGATATGCAAGGATCCTCAGGTGGCAAAGATCCATGCTTCCAGGGGAAAGGGTGGCACAATAAGAGATAAAAATTTTACACGGAATGTATATGGAAAAAATCTTTAAAAATATTCTCAAGAACATCTGGACCATGATTTGTCGTATTGATGTGCAATCATCCTCATGAAGCGAAGATTTAATCTTGAAGAAATCATCCCATTCTCCTCTCACCGAAGAGGATAGAATTGAGCCAGATACGGAAACCAATTTGTACACATGGATATATGAAGGGGATTCTATTAAAATAAAACCCTTTTATTCAAGGATAGCAGGAGCATAATATATAAGAAATAAATCTTTCAAGAGTAGATCTACACAAAATCATTTTGATATGAAAACCCTCATTAGCTGTGTTGATTCAAGATTTTTATCCAAATTATGGACCTTGCGGTTAGGGTGTCCAGAACACCAAGTTGTCTCGTCAAATTGACATGGTAAAATCCCAATATTGATTGGTTTTGATTTATTGTAAATAATAGCCCCTTTGTCTAAGGAGGGCCATAGTATACGTTAAAATGTTTTTAAAGGAATAAACAGGTAAAAGTCTATTAAAACCCTTCTTGTGACTCAGGTGAGCATCGTAGCTCATGAGCTTCTTTATCCAATTTCTTTTCTTTGAAAAATAGTTATATTGAAAATATTTTCGCGCATAATGCTGAACATTTAGTTCATTAGTTCAGAAAAGATTTATTCAACTTCGCCTGTTTTTAATCTGATATATGAAGGTGTATTTTTTTCAAAGCTTTTATGACACATTTGTAATATACAAGATGGATCTAAAAGTTAACATTATGCGAGTGATTCCATTTATTATATGTAATTTTTTTTTTTTGAATAACGAGTCCGTTGATGATTTTGATTAAAGATTCACTAGTCTTTTAGACTCCTGGACATCTCTCCAGAAAACTATTGGCTTAATCTTAGCGAATACTTAACTCTCTACCACAATTGTGATATTCAATATCTCCGTATGACCCTTTGCATATAGGATGCAAACTGTTTGCTTGGTTATATTGAGCGGAAAGCATTCTCCACAAATGTGAAAATCATTCTTTGAAGTATGTGGTTGAGGTACATGAATGGGTTGATAAGGTGGTCACATTTAAAATTTTATATTTGAAAATCTTTTTTCAAATATCATGATGCAGGCATGATACAGGCCTCTATGTGACTTCTAAAATTTAGGCGCCAACTGGCTCCTTATCAAAAAAAAAAATTATCGCCAATGCAAATTTTTAGTCGCCAGGTAAATTTTTCTTAGGCATCAATTTTAAAACTGATATAAGTCAATATATGAGATATGTCCATTGCTAACTTTTTAACTTCTTTTCTGCTCTTTATAAAATAAAAATTGAAAATGTTTATGGTTCGGTAATTTGACGAACACCAAGTAAATTTCAAATGGTCGCTACTTTGGCGACTTACAGAAAATGTTAAGGCGCCAATCATAATTTTTAGGCGCCATGGCGACTAAATTAGTAGCTTATTAGAGCCCTGTGATATCAAAGTATGCGTGATGTATGCATGATATCAATTTATGAATTTTCCCCCTTGATGGAGCCAGGTTGATGGCTTATTTAAAATGTCTTTTTAAATTAATACTAATTAATATATCTGTACGTGTTTATGGTTTAAAAATTTAGTGCAATTTGATACTAGTAATGAAAGTATTTCCTAAAAACTTTATGAAGTTCATTTCATATGTATCCAGAGTTAAAGTCTTAGTTTGGTTGAGTTGGTGTATGCCTAAAAAACTTATAATCTCCATATGACCCTCAAAGTTCTTGGATTCGTGTTATAGATAAAAAAAAAAAGGAATGGCACAGCTGGAATCTATCGAGTTACAAAAAAAATAAGAAAAGAGAATCTTATACAACATATTTTTATAATCAGTGGGTATTTCTAGTGGATGTTAAAAATTTCCTTAACCACACAAGCTAAGGTCTGCTTTATCAAAGAAAGAATTAGCATGAAGCAAGTGTCCCTTATGTAATTGTCAGAGGAAGATTCTTTTTTTCCTTTATCAGCAATTTGTACAGAGGGATTGGTTTCTGTAGGCGTTGAGGGTTTCCTCCTATAACGAGTTTTTATCATTTAATCAAAGAAGAGAATAAAGCCAAGGGTTACACATTTTCAAATGCAGAGGTGTATGTCTTAAAAGCAATTTCAATTATAGGTTCAATAATTACATAATATTTCCCTGCAGATAATATATCCTAGTATATAGTTAAAAGAAAATCAACGCGAGAGAGAGAGAGAGAGAGAGAGAGAGAGAGAGATAAGATATCCAATTATCCTTTTCATCTGATAAATGAGCCTACATATATATGTATTATATATATGTAAGTAAAACCATGGTTACATTGATAAAGTATTAGATTTTTCATAATCTCACAAGAGCATTGTCATTGACGTCATAAAAGAGTTTATGTTCGATCCTTATCGGTATACTGATTTCTGTCACTGGAAGTTTTTGTGCGTTATGTTATATTTTTTATCATTTTTGTGTTCCATCATTTGATATGTAATAGAAATTAGCAAAAATGATATTCAAATATTTGAAATTTTTGCAAAGATAAATTATTACTGATCGTATTATTTTGATTTGGCTTTTATTTTGTCGGCAAAAAAATCTTTACTTAAAATTTAATGTTCAAATTCCCTGTATTTTTAATCTCCAAATAATACCTTTAAGATCATATGATGTAATCAGAGATTATTGAAAAAGTACACATTACTGTGATCGTCAACCTACTGTACTCTAGCAGAAGTTCTGATTATTACCAAATAAGGTTAATATATATGTGAGAATATTACATGTATACTTCAAACTAACTATGAAACATCCTATATATATATAAACATGGTATATATATATATATATATATATATATATATATATATATATATATATATATATATATATATATATATATATATATATATATATATATATATATATATATATATATATATATATATATATACATACATACATACATATGTTTCATAGTGAGTTTGAAGTATAATATTCTCACATATTTATTAACCTTATTTGGTGATAATCAGAACTTCTGCTAGAGTACAGCAGGTTGACGATCACAGTAATGTGTACTTTTTCAATAATCTCTGATTACATCATGTGATCCTGAAGGTTTATAGAACGACTAATCGATCGCTTCCGATCACCTTTGTTAATGTACATTTCACTGAAAGTATGAATTCAATTTCTAATAGACCATAAATAGTAATTACAGGTCATTAGTTACGCAGGCTTGCAGTTAAAAATACTAGCCCTGGTTTATAGATGAAAGCCGTTAAATATTTGTTTTTTATTATTTTTGCCCTTATATCAGTTTATGCATCACAGATAAAATTATTACTTTCTAAGGGCAAAGCATTATATTCAAATTTATATTTTTTGTTTAATTTTATGTGATTGTTCCCAAAGCAAATATACAAATTTGAACTGAATAAAAGAATATACGTTAAATATATAGAAATAAATTTAAATTGTTTCTTTTACAAAACCTATTATCCTTCACTAAAAGATGCTTATCTCGAAGAATTTCTATCTTACCACCTTGCTTAAGGAGACAATAATTCTATGTGAAATAATGAATTTATAATTATAACATGAGTCTTGCATTGTTTTTTCCTATAAAAATGATTTTGTTATCATTGCAGATACCTGCAATGAGGAAAATGGAGCTAGTTGTGGTAAGTTGTAAAACCCTTTTGAGATTAAATTTTAATAGCAATGGCCTTTCAACAAGTAAAATAAAATTACCACATATTTTTTTTCTCGAGAAAAAAACAATAAGTCTATGTTTGCAGATAATTTTTTCTGTTTTTATCACAGATTGCAGAAAAACGTGCAACAAGCCAGGGATTGGGGTAGGAGTACTGGATAATTCTACCTGCACCTGCGAATGCCTGTACGGGAAGGGGCCGAACTGTGATGGTAAAATTAAAAAAAAATTGGTTTAAGTGTTTTGAATTGTTGATTTAGGCCAAAGTGAATTAATTTCCATACGTGAATTCCATATAATTATTTAAAAAAATCTATTTTCTTCGTAAATCTGAAGCCCAAAAAACCTTCATGGTAATTTTCATTTTAAAAAAAGAAATGCTCTTATATCAAAAACACAAGAATTATTACCTCAAACCAAACTCTCCATGTAATTTTCATTAAAAAGACTAGAAATCATCTTTATTGAACAAAAATAAACTAGATTAATACCTTGCAGCACGTTTAGCTATGCCCTAGGTGTACTGACTCTCTAATTATTGTATTTGTGAAACCCACGTGTCTAATAAGGAGCTATTGACATTTGTCATTATTTTCCTGTTGTCGACGTTCAATAGAAATTAGATTGAAACTAAGAGATTTAATGAGATACTCTAATGGGAAAAATGAAATAGGAACACATTTTTTATTGCTTTAAGGGGATTTTTACGTGTATTTGCCATGGAAAGTTAACTTGTCCTATTTGAGAAAAAGTGACAAAATATATTGAATAAACTAAATAAACTATTTACTTGCATTCGAATGTCAGCTCACCGGATTAAAAAAAGGCCATTAAATCAACAGATAGGGACTAAAAGTTTACTGAAAGGTGACTGAATGGCAGAGCTTTTTACCATTTAGTCATCTTTCCAGATCTTTCATTGGACATTCCGTTTAACAAAATGTAAAACTTTTGGTGAGGTTTCATGCGAAACTGGAATATTTTTTTCTGTGTCGGGAGAATAGTGTTCTAGCAGCACTTTTCATGGCCCAGTGATGCTTTTAGTAATTATTTTTACAAAGCGAAATGAATTATCCCCGGGGTAGTGTTGATTTTTTCACTTTTTCATTAAGGCATTTTTTCTATTTATAGACATCACGTGATGACGTCGTAGTGGAGTGATTCTTTTAGCCTAATACTCATTGACGTCTATAAATTATAGTAAATGTTTTGTCTATGGATTTTCCGATATATCAATGTCACATTTTACAAAAAAAGTGTAAATTCGCCGAATGATGATCTGGGTAATGCCTTAACATACCTGTGTACATTCAACTTTGTTCAATGATTGTCTAAAGGGGGGTTAAGGTGGGGCCACAAGGGGGTGATCAAAGGAATGTATAGATAAAAATAATCATCTTCTCAAGAACGGCAAAGCCGTCATTAGTCATATTTATCCTCAGGTAGCGTAGGTCGAGTATGTTAAAATCATATAATATCAAGAATAGCTAAGATTCAGAATAGGCAATCAAAGTTTTGCAAAGGAATATATATGTGAAACAAATCTTTAAAAACTTCTCGAGAAAAAGTAAGGCCATGGTTAATCTTATTTACATGGAAGCATGGATTGTGATTAGAACAACCTCGAATATACACCACCTTATAAAGTTTTCATAGTATATGACCAATCATGACGTTGTTATTCTTGAGAAGATGATTATAAAGGATGTTTCTATATGTATACCTATTGGCGTAATCATAGCCTTTGGGTAATAATTAGAACAAAAGTAAATCTGCTGTATCTGCTGCTTGTTTTATTAATATGAAAACTTCGTAAGGTGGTGTATATTCGATGTTGTTCTAATTACAATCCCTCGAGGGTAGAATGGACCCAAAATAAGCTATCAAAGTTTTAAATAAGAATATATAAGTAAAGGTCTTTAAAGATCTTTTCAAGAACAGACAACAACGGTGAGTTGAGCATAGATGAAAGCTTCCTCCTTTTGTACATGTAGATTCAAATTTGTACAAATTTATGCCCCCCCCCCCCCCCCGTGAGTAAATAGTAGATCACAGTCTTACATATAAATATATAAGGGGAAAATCTTCTAATGAAGAGCAGAGAGTGACTCAGATAAGCGTTGTGGCACATGGGTTTCTTGTCTTTGTACATACATTGTAATACAATAAGCAAGAAAATTTCATAATGAACTACACTGGGTTTTTAGGGTCTTTCGTCTCCAACGGAAGACCCTTCTATTATTCTATTGTTTCTTTTTCACTTTTCTTATTATTCTTTTTTTCTTTACAATTTTTGTGCAGAAGATTTCTCGGAGATGGCTCAATCGATTTACTTGAAAATTTCAGGGAAGATTTATCTTTACCTGAACCTTATACGTACTTTTCAATTTTTTGAAATGTACTTCCGGTCGAAAGTTATCGCCCTTTTATCAAAATTTAGAGGACCTCCTTGTCTGCGATGGAACTCAAAAACGGCTTAAGCTAGAGCGCTGAAATTTTCAGTGATGATAGAGGACATGTTGCCATTATGCACCTGTGTTTAGATATTTTCGGGAAGTGCCTAGTATGGAAGCTCAGTAGGGGTCGAAATTTAGGACACCAATCATTAGTGAATTTTTGAGACATTTTGTGTCATATCTTTTAAAGTATAGTTATTTTGTTAAAACATATTGAACAAAATTTGTGCAAAATGAAAAGATCTGTAACATGATATCAAGAAAAAAGAGCTGACTCATCACATTAGGGGCCGAGAGGGGCCAAAAGTCTTTAATCGATAACTCTTAAACAAGCAACATTTTGGTATACATTACTGAAACAAAAATACTTATCTTAACAAACTACAACTATATATTATGATTTTTACGTCACATGGCACATAATTAGGGCCACAAGGGGCCAGAATGCTAAATCTTTGACGCTTTATATCTCGAAAAGGGGAAACATTTTGAAAAGCAATATTGAACAAAAGTTATTTAGAATGATGGTCTCAACAATGTGCATCCTTTTAATTTTTCCTAAACAGCCCCTATAAGGACTTAAAGGGACGGCCCCTAAATATTTCAAGTCTACATATCTCGAAAACGAAACGAAACTTCTGAATACTTGTTGAACAGAAAGTCTTCAGAATTACAAGACCTTTCAAGTGATATCAAAAGAAAGGGGCTGACCCCTCAAATAAGGGGCTCAGAGGGGCCAAAAGTCTTTCATCTATAACTCCTTGACGTTAAATATTTTGATATTAATTATTGAAACAAAAATGTTCATCTTCACAATTTGCAACCAAATATTTTAAAATTTTCATAAAATATTACGTAATTAAGGGCCATAAGGGGCCAGAATGCTTAATCTTTGATGCATTATATCTCGAAAAGGGTAAATATTTTGAAAAGCAATATTGAACAAAAGTTGTTTAGAATAATGTTCTAGTTATTATTAGGGTCTTCCGTCTTCAGCGGAAGACCCTTCTATTATTCTATTGTTTCTTTTTCACTTTTATTAGGGTCTTCCGTCTTCTGCGGAAGACCCTTCTATTATTCTATTGTTGATTTTTCACTTTTCTTATTAGGGTCTTGCGTCTCCAACGGAAGACCCTTCTATTATTCTATTGTTTCTTTTTCACTTTTATTATTATTATTTTTTTCTGCCCAAATTTTGTGCAGACGATTTCTCAGAGATGGTTGGATGGATTCACTTGAAATTTTCAGAGATGATGTATCATGACCTCATGACCTAAACCTTATTCATTTTTTTTTTTTTTTATTTTTTGAAAATTCACTTCCGGTCGGAAGTTATCGCCCTTTAATCGAATTTTTAGTGACCATTTTGTCTACACAAAAACTCAAAAACGACAAAAGCTAGGGTGCTGAAATTTTCAGTGATAATAGAGGACATGTTCTAGTTATTTTCAAATTTTCTGGAAGTGCCTAGTATGGAAGCTCGGTAGGGGTCGAAATTTAGGACATGAATCAGGAGTGAATTTTCGAGACATTTTTTATCATATCTTCAAAAGTATAAATATTTTCTTAAAACATATTGAACAGAAGGGACGGCCCCTAAATATTTCAAGTCTACATATCTCGAAAACGAAACGAAACTTCTGAATAGTTGTTGAACAAAAAGTCTTCAGAATTACAAGACCTTTCATGTGATATCAAGAAAAAGGGGCTGTCCCCTCAAATTAGGGGCTCAGAGGGGCCAAAAGTCTTTCATCTATAACTCCTTAACGTTAAATATTTTGATATTAATTATTGAAGCAAAAATTTTCATCTTCACAATCTGCAACTATATATCTTAAAATTTTCATCAAATATTACGTAATTAGGGGCCACAAGGGGCCAGAATGCTAAATCTTTGACGCTTTATATCTCGAAAAGGGGAAACATTTTGAAAAGCAACAAAAGTTGTTTAGAATGACGTTCTCAACAATGTGCATCCTTTGAATTTTTCCTCAACAGCCCCTATAAAGAATTAAAGGGACGGCCCCTAAATATTTCAAGTCTACATATCTCGAAAACGAAACGAAACTTCTTTTCCTTACCGATTTTGTGCAGAAGATTTCTCGGAGATCTCTCGATCGATTTGCTTCAAATTTCCAGGGTTAATGCGTTGGTATCTGAAGTTTATAACGGCATGTCAGTTTTTGAACAATCACTTCCGGTCAGAAGTTATCACCCTTTAATCGATTTTTAGATAGACCTTGTGTCTGCACAAAAACTCAAGAACGACAAATGCTAGAGTGTTGGAACTTTCAGTGGTGATAGAGGACATGTTCTAGATGTGCACCTTGGTTTTCATATTTTCCGGAAGTGCAAAGTATGGTAGCTCGGTAGGGGTCAAAATTTAGGACGTGATTTATGAGTGAATTTTAGAGACATTTTTGATAATAAAATTTTAAATAGAAGTATTTTGTTAAAACATATTGAACAAAAAGTCTTCAAAATCACAAGACCTTTTATTTGATATCAAGAAAAAGGGACTGACCCCTCAAATTAAGGGGCTCAGAAGGGCCAAAAGTCTTTCATCTATAATTCTTTAATGATCAATATTTTGTTATAAATTACTGAAGCAAAAATGTTCATCTTAGCATTCTGCAGCTATATATTATAAAATTTGGATCATATGATACGTAATAAGGGGCCATAAGGGGCCAGAATGCAAAATCTTTGACACTTGATATCTCGAAAAGGGGAAATATTTTGATAAGCAATATTGAACAAAAGATGCTCAGAATAATGTTTTAAACATTATGCTTCCTTTTACTTTTTACAGATGAATATCTCAGTCAAGATCTTGACTAATCTTATCCAGAATCAGACGGAAGACCCACTCGTTGCTCGCAACGAGAACCATCTAGTTTTATTTATGTTTGTGTCCTTGGGCTTGGTGATTTCTGATGAAGGAAGAAACTGACAATGACCTGTCAGAATTGTCTGATCTGGATTTTTATTTACAGTAACTTTCCAAATGTCTGATGCGACAGATGATAAGAAAATCAATTCAAGATAATTTAAGAAAGCAGCTACCATTTCCTTACTTTGACAAATACAAAACATTTTGATTCAACGCAGCTGTTTATACAGCGTCAGGGTCACAATTTTCTAAGGTTTTCCAAATCTACAGGAGAGTCTACTCTTTCACCTTTTTACGATTTGTCAAATTCTATATTTACAGTTAAAATAAGTCAAGACAGAAGATTACAATGTGATGCATTTTGAATCAATAAAATTTCTGAAAGCCATTTTTCTGATAAGTTAATTTTTTTACAATATTCACGGGAATTGATTTCACTGGAGTATCTTTTGAAAGGATGGTTAATACCGAAAGAGTTAACTATGTATGGTGGTAAAAAAGGGACTCAGAAAATCATTTTGAATTAAATTTCAGAAATAAAATTGCTAGAAAAGTTTAAATCGTGTCCAGTGATTTTTTTTAATGTCTAATATTCTTTAAATTCCTTTACACAGAAGACTGCGTGAACCCCCAGATGTATGAAAACTGGGACATCTGTGAGTTGGTGACCACAGATGATTGCCTGTCAGAAGATGGGGGAATTCTCAAGGAATACTGCCCCGCTAAATGTGATTGTAGTAAGTATTGTTTTTGTTTTGAACATATTTTATTGACAATATGTCAAAGGGATTGGACACAACTTTTAAAAACTTAGATAGTCCTCTCCCAATATATAAGCATATTAAACATGCATATTGATTTCCACGAAAGAAATTGAACAGCGTCTGTTTATAAAATACAGTATCTATAATAATAATAATAATGATAAATGTTCTCAATTAAAGATATTGTATACTTTGACCTTAATCAAGAAAGAATTGAATAAGTTAATGTTTTTCCTATTTTATAAAGAGTTTAGAATTACTTAATGACCTGGAAAGTAAATTTGCAATGTTCTGATTGTCCGCAAAAAGATCGTTAATTTATTTTGCTTGTTATTCATTGAATATATATTGAAATATGTTTTGAAATGTGTCTGACTATGTTAGACTTAACATAAAGCAAGAAAGTATCCCTTTATTTCATCCTGCAAAAATAGAGTATATCAGAAAATAAAACCAATTACATATTAATAATACGAGGGTTGTCCCAGAAAACGCGAACATTTTCAACATTTTTTGTTTCACTAATATTACAAAGTTAAAAATTGGCATACATTAAAATCAACATTTCTGAAAATAATTCACAAAAATTTCAGTAAAATATCTCTATAAATGACATTTATCTCTTTGGTATATGAATCATTCAAAATAGCTGCCAGTGTAACCACGACGACGTCAAAAATTAGCTCGTGGAGTGTTTGAATTTGTTCAGGAATCGTGCGTCTTTAAAAATTCGTTCTAAGAATAAATTCGATACTGCATTTTATTTCCTTACAGTGACCGAGTTATCGATTTCACACGTACCACAGTTAAAAATAAATCAAGAAATAGATTCTTTTAATAGTCAATTTCCCAACCCTGATCATAAACCTAACGGGCTCGAATACTTAACGGTGATCTCCATGATTATGATGTCCAGCTCTAGCCTTTTCAGTTTGTCGTCATTTTTGTTGGTCTACCAAACGCTTTTTCCATCGGATAACCAGTCCGTTCATCTTTGAACCTCTTTTACAATGTATAAACATGTGACCGATATATGTATTTTTGTCGTTCTCTCGTTCCCAGCTCTTTTTCCGTATGAACAGGAGTCACTCCACAGACACTGCTTGATAATTTGGTGCGCCGCATTATCGCTCGACGTCGCCGTTTTTGGCAATAACTAATAGTGTTTGTAATGTTCTGACGTCATACGTTTCTAAGAATATAATTTCTAAGAATATATAAGCCTGGTTATCAAGAAAATATTGCTGTCAATGCTTTTTTGAAAGTCAAGAATTGTTTATACTTAAGGTAGAACCTATGTCGAAAAAGACTTTGTCACAGGATTTTCAATCTTTTCAAAATGAGTAATTAGCACTTGCTTATTAATCAGTTAAAAATACATGGCGTGTTTCCTTGTTATTAAATGTGGTGTAGCCGGCGCAATTTAGAATGATTAATATACACTGCAACTATAACTTTCAGTCATTTTTAGGGGTACATGGTCATAAGGAGAATAAGAAAATCACAAAAATACTTCTTCAAACACCTTTGTTTATAGACTTTATTAACTGAGGAATAGTTAGAAATATTATTAAAAATCAAATTCTTTTTTCTTCAATTGACATAAAAGATTCAATCCACAATTCAATAAATATATGCAAATGCGCTAAATATTTTTCAAAGGATTTTTTAGTCCATCGACAACCCTTAATTTGTAAATATTTACCAAAAGTCTTTGTGACAGTGTTTTCAATCCTTAATATGTGAAGAACATACCCAAATGATTACTAAAATGATTAAAATATATACCTTTCACCCCAAACTAGTGAGAGAGATTTTTTTTATCAGTACAAGCCATGTTGACCTTTTTGCACTTACACAGGATTTCATGATCAAATGAATGTGTTGCTCTCAGAATAACAATATGAATATTTATCAAAAAAGAAAATTTCTATTAAAAATTTTTATATTTTAGCGAAATGTTATTATTAGACACATACCACTAAAAATCCAAATAATAATTAAGAAATAATAATTATGGAAATGAATACATTTCATTTCATAATAGACATTGCAAACATTAAAACATAATCTTTAATAGCTATAAGACTCAGACGAAAATATAGAGAGAGATATCATAACATGGTAACCTAGGAATAAACAGTCATACAATGCAAAATTAACAATATTAACAATACGCAATATGGCCACAAGTAAGATTCAAGTACAAACCTTTTAGTAGCAGAAATAAATTGAAGTACATGTTTAAAAATGTTTGTATTAAAGGAATAATTTCTAGCTGGATATCCAAATAAGAGAATGTTTAAAGTGACTGGTCCTAATGGGTCAATGAATTTTTTCCTTGCGTCAGTGTATAGAGGACATTCTAATAAAAAGTGTGTTGTTGTTTCAATTTTTCCACAAGCACAATTAGGATTATCTATTATATGTTTTGCAATTAAATGCGAATTAAGTGTACTACAATTGAGTCTAAGTCGTGTGTGTAAGATCCGTTCTGTGCGCTTACCAAATAGAATGTGTCTTGGGGTTTAGTAACAGTTTGTGTTAAGCACACGTTTTAAATTGGATACTGAAGGATTTTCTTGGACATTTAACGGAAGATAATTCCAAAGCTTTGTAGTGAACGGTAGAAAAGATTGTGCATAGTGGTTTATATTAAACTTTCGTTGAGTAATGTAGTGCGATCTTCTTGTAGGATAATGATGTGTTTCACTGATTCTTAAAGAGATTAAAGAAGATAAATAATCTGGAGCACTTCTATGGACCATGGTGTGAAATTTGATCATTTTGTCTTCGACTGTGCAAAGTATCTCACCCAACTTCTCGATAAAGATCATTTAAACTTAAGAGTTTTGTCGCACCTGAGACAATGCGAGCTGCCTCAATATTAATTTTTTCGAGTTTATCAGCTAAATCGTTAGGGATATTGTCCCAAACTACATCTGCGTAGTCAATAACTGGCCTTACAAATGAAAAGTATAGTTTTTCTAAGGATTTTCTGTCTAATAAAAATCTGAGTCGTCTTAGAATGTGTAACCTAGACGAAGCTTTCGCCACGACAATATTAACATGATATGACCATTGACCGTTATCTGAAAAATGTAATCCTAGGTGATTATGATGTGACACTTCACTTATCTTTTGTCCATTCAAATACAGGTCTGATGTGGAGTTCGGTTACGTTTGCTACTAATTGTTAAGCTTTCAGTTTTCTGAGGATTAAATGTAACTAACTATTGATTAGACCATTTGTGGATTTTGTCGAGGTCACTATTTAAGGTCGTACTTGCAATATTTCGACAATAATGTATATTAAGGTGGTGTCATCCGCAAATAGTTTGATAATGGATCTTATGTCAAACACTATATCATTTATATATACAAGAAATAACAGTTGGCCCAATACTGAGCCCTGGGGCACGCCAGCCTCAATATTGCATCAACCTGATGCTGATGAGTTTATTACAACTCTTTGTTTACGACCTTGAAGATGATTTTCGAGCCAATGGTAAAGTTTCCCTCCTATCCCAGCTTGTCGAAGTTTATAAAGCAAACCCTTATGCCAAACCCTGTCAAACGCTTTGCTTATATCACAAAACACAGCACGCACCTCCTTCCCCGAGTCTAAGGCTCTACCAATATCGTTAGATATGTCTAGCAAGTTAGACTGTTGAGTTAAAATAAAAACAAGATACAATTTATATTAATATTTGGACACTGATATAAATATCAAAAATAATCTCAACTTGCTTCTTTTTTTTTCATACTACATGCAGTACAAATGAATTTTAGAAGATCTTTATCCTACATAATGTATCTATCATTAGAAATCCTGGGTATTTGTACACTTTTTATATATATCAAATTGAATGACATTTTCCTTTTCAGCTCGACATCCAATGGCGGAAAATCAAGCGATGGGAAGACGTGGGAATTAATGAGAGATAATTATTTGTACTGAGTTTTGTTCTCGATTTATTGAAGAACTCTTTAAAGAGTACATTGAGCAAACCAAAAACTGGTAATGTTTGCTAGAGGGAGACACAAGGGATATATATACTTGATAACGTAATGTTGTATAGAATGGACATACACCGATTGCGCATTTTTTATATCAATTTTATTTTTGTCTTTTGTGTACATTTGGTCAATAAACATTCCCCCCCCAAACATCTCCAAAATAATTTTATCTATCACCATGAAAGTGGGTTGCTTGCCTTGTAATACGTATTCTAGTGGAAATAAGTCAGAATCAATAACTGTGTTGTTTACTTCAATTGAATGAATTTCAGTTACAAAAAGCGTTACCATATTAAAAAAAAACGCGTAACGTAACATGCAATCTAATTTTCATTTGATATTTTGTAGCGGAAGAGAATGATAACTGATGAGTACACAGTAAAAGTACATAATAAAGATAAAAAAACATGTTTAAAAATTTAATAAAGAAAACTTTTTTTCCAGGTCATTGAAACATAGTCAGTTGTAATTATATTTACTGTAATGGATATAAATCTAATCTTCAATTAACGACTATTATCACAGGGTTCTCCATGAGCCGTTTTACTGTGCCAGAGTAAAATTTCTTCCGACACAGTAACGATTCAAATTTTATGCGTGCGCCACAGTAAAAATCTTGCGACACAGTAAGATCCAGAAAATCAGAACATATTTTTTTAATCAAACAAATCTATCGTCTTTCAATTTTTAATGCAGAGCACTTGATTATCTCTTAATTAGGCCAAATTGCGTTACTTCACCTGGCATTATGAATCATTATCTCTTAGCTTCGCTAGGTATGGAGGAAAAAGTCTAATCATTTGTTTTCACACTTCCGTGTAATCGTATAATTGCTTGTTGTATTTTTAATATTATCTAAATATTTAAAAAATAACTTTTATACGTCTGTATTTAAGAACCACGTCTCTAGAATTATGTTGGCTCTGTGAGTCCAACATCGTACGGTGATTATTTAATTATATATGTATTGTTGAAGAAATAAAGGCACTCCCAAAAAGTATTAAAATATACTAAAGTTTTGTTGTTGTTTTTTTAAATCAATAAATTATCGATAATTTGATCAACAGACAAAAATCATGGCGAATTTCCTTTTAAAGATGTTAAGTAGTTCGATTGTATCGAACAGAATTTCCTCTGCTCTTATTTGCATGAGTAAAATATAAAGTTATACATGTATATTTAAATATCAGGGTTTAATACTTACAACTTGTAGATATTGATACAATTAAGTATATTATATATTAAGTTGTTTTTTTTTAAATCGTACTTATGTAGTTTTAGTTGTGTGTGTGTGGGGAGGGGGGGGGGGGACCAGATCCACTCTCTACCATCTGCTCATACACTCTGAGAGAGGAACGAACGACAACTTTAACAGATCGATTCTGTTATCATATGTACATAATTGTATATTAGAGATATTCGAATTTCATCATTTCAATATCCATTAATTCATATTTATTAATATGCACGATCATACCATTTGTGTATCGAATTAGTGATTCAAAAACGTTGTGTGTGCTTTTGCAATTATAATGAATAAGTGGTTCTGTTGTAAATTTGATCTCAAAAATACCGCTAATGTTAGTGCTTCGCGTAAAATATAAGTTACAGTAAAATTTCAAATAACGGAGAAACCTGTCATACATTCTTTCCAAAGAGAGCCCTATAGTTGTTTGTTCCAGAGAGGCTATGGGATTAAAAACGATCTTTACAAAAACATTAAATACAGTGAAGGAGAAATTCAGAGGCACGGTGTTAAAACATATTCAGGAAATAGTTTGAATAAAATATTGATTCTTAAAAACAAAATTTCTAGTTAAAATCAGAAATTTCAACGCTTTATACAACAATTCCTCAAGCTAGATTAAAGACTGTCTGAGGCCAAGAAGTGCACCGCCACGACGTTATGACGTGACTGCTTTTAATAGAAAAATATTCCTTTTAAAAAGTTAATAATACAACACTACCCCGGGATTTAATAATTTCTTTGAGTAAATAATATAGTTGAAAAACGTCACTTATGCCTAAAACATGCTACTAAAATTCCACTGTTCGGTCGGAAAAATAATTATTTTACACATTCGCACGAAACCTTTCCCGGTGTTTTGCATTATATACATATAACCCGAGATATTTCTTCAAACTATGTTAACCTTACGATTCTAGCAGCACTTTCCATGTATTATAGAACTCAAGCTTTTGATCTGTGCGAATCTTATGTTTTGAAGTATCCATCTTAGTGTTGTTCTTGCGCATTATTTTTGTCACGAATGACAGAGGAGATGTTGACCAGGATACGTAAATTTATAGCTGACTGTCTTCAATAGAAGGTATAATCGATGAAAAAAAATAAGCATACCTTTTTTACAAACTTTCATATATGAAGAGTCATAATTTTTAATCCAAGTGAACGATACAGCATAGCAAAACAAAACAAAATTTATTTTTGTTAATATGTTTCCATTCATTTTCTGAAGTTGAATTTCATTCCTAATTACCAATATTAACAAAAAGTTTTCTAAAATTGACGTCACATCGCCTACTATGACGTCATATTGTATCACTGATTTATCTGAGTGTTTCCTTAACATACCTACGTAGTAATCATTCTGATTAATTATTCTGTTTTATACAAAGTAATCTGAAGTTGATTTTAAAAAGATTATAGATTTTAGTCTTAACAATACCTAATAATTACGTTATAATTATTACTTTATTAGCTTTTCCATTGATCATTTCTTTTGTTTCCCAGTAACATTCCACTAACACCTGTATATATGGTGTTTATGTCATTTTTTTAATGCCAATTTGGATAACTTCGTTAATCTTATCTAAAACAAGCACACAAGGTGGGTGTGACCGGTCGATAGGGAATACTTACTTCTCCTTGACCGATCTTGTGTTTCCATGGTGTTTGTTTTTGCCCTATACACAATTCATATTCTTTACAGAATTGATGTGATAGATAACTATGTAATACTCACCTTAACCAAACTGGAAGAAATGTTTGTTCTTAATTAAAATCAAGAAGTTGAGAGGAAAATAATTTTGAAATTTGGATTTCATGAGTTCTTTTTAACAAACTTTAAAAACAATTAAGAAAGCCTTACTTAAGTTTAAGAATGCTTCATGATCCTGGTGCTTGAAGAGTTTTGTTTCAGTGCAGGAAAATAAAAAAAAAAAATGGTGTTTGAGCTCTAAGTTTCCAAGAATATACTCAATCATCTCTATCTTAGATACCTTAATATTTTTCAGTATCCCTATAGGTAGGTTATTACTCTTGTGGTGAGTTATTAGTCAATATTTATCCTTTTGGGCATAATGAAATATTGTTTATTGAGGTCACAAAGCAAACTTTGTCATTAAAATGGCCAAAACAATGTTCATGCATTTTTATAATCAGTTTTTGTCATTAGAAAATTGGCAAAACAATTTTCATACATTTTAAAATGAAATTTTTTATGCCAAAGTTTGCTTAAAGGAAAAGATGCTGTCATATTTACATATATATAAATACTAAAATATGCAAGGGAAAAAAAAATATGGTTACAATATAACAGATCTAAGGTCGCTGAAATTTGCATCGTGTTCCAAATTGATCGGACTTTCTAAATGATATGTACTTGTAAAAACCCAAGTTATAAAAATTTTATTCTTAACTAAATTGCTTTATTTCAAATCGATGACAAGACTTAGATATGTATGTACATGGATTATAAGGGGATGAAAAATATATTGTAAGTTAATTGTTTAGAGCATTAAAATTTGTTCTAAAATAAGTGCTTACATAGTGGAAGTGTTTTATTTAAATATGTTTTCTTTTATTTTCACTAACAGTGAATTAAATTTGTTTCAACAGTGCTGAAAAAAACATTTTAACAGTAAAAACTTTCATATGGAAATTATAAACTAAATCCAATTAAAAAAAAAATAGAATAAAAACTTTAAAATTTATTTTAAAAAATTCCTGTCAGCAAGCCCCCTTTTTAATAAATTTATGCTTCAATTTTGTTGCTGTAAAACGAAAGAGAATATTGACATTATAAAATTTATACAAAACTTTTATTATAACTTCCACCTTCCACTTTTCAAAATTAATTCTTAAACTGTTATGACACTGAATACGTAGTAAAAACAACATCCTTTTTATCACAAAACACAGTTTTTAAGAAGCTGACCACAATTTGTTAATTTGATTTTTTTTCTGTATTCAATGCTCAAAAATTGTTGTACAAAAAAGCGGATGACATTACATTAAAAAGAAAGGCTTCCAGGAAGCGACTAGATAAACGGCACCGAAAAAGAGCTAAGTACGTGATTCTTTTCCAAAACAGGATACACGGCGTGTAGATAATCTTTGTTAATTGAGTTATACGTTTTTTGTGTGTTAGATGGTCGTTGCTCTTTTTAGAAGGATTAGTGCAGGAAGGTCTCGCTTGGAATTTTTACAAATTGGAATTATTAGGAAGAGAAGTCAGTAAATGGAATCAGTGTCTTGAAAATGCAGACAGAATCGTATATAACACTTAATTTACTTCTGTCTCATCTCTTGATAGAGTCTTGATTTAATAGTCTTTGAAATAATAATATCTATTTTGCTTCTAGTTTCCATGTTTTCAAAATAGCTTGATTCATTCGTATTTTTCCGCAAAGATACAAGTCTATTTTTTTTTAAGTATAAGAAGTTCTATGGAAACACAATCCTTAGTTTTCCAAAAAAATAAATAAATAAATTCGAAATTTGATAAGAATTATTTTCTGAAGGATTTAAGCGTTCATGCTGCACGCATTCTCTGTGCGATTTACTATTGAGGGAGCCAAGAATCTGACCTGTGATACCTTTAAAAAAAGGAGGGTGATCTTATACTGTATGTGTACTTAAAAAAGCGGGCTTCATATTTTAGCGGCTTTGGCGCGGACACCGATGCGCTAATTCATGAATACCGCTAAGAAATCATTTATAAATACAATGCACTTCATGGACATGTGTGGCGCTAATTCATGATTACGCCAACAACTCCATACCCAGTGACTGCGCTCAATTTTGAATACGCCAATTTATGTACACGTATAGTATAACTTGTTTCACATTTCATGTTTCACGTTATTGTCAATGTATTAAGGAAAATGTCTTAAAAAGAACGAATTAGGG